ATGGCGAGCTCTGGTGGACTGAATGCACAGGCGATGAATCTAGGTGGAAAGCCATTGCAATCACTCTCCGTAGTTGCATCATTATTTTGCTCCTAAAATACTCAACGTGTGCTGGTCGTATGGATTTCAGTTTTCTGCAAATGTATAGGCCAAGCTTCCACCCACTTTCTGATTTGGTCTCCAAAGTGAACAACCTCATTTGGCACACCAGAGATCTTTCTAAATTACTTCTGCCACACGGTCTCTGTGACCAGAAGATAGAAGAACGTGTATTTATATCGACAACTATGTTCTGCGAATTTTTTGGCGCTCTCCCGCGTGACGAAGAGGTTAGTTTTCCTGAGATTAAAACTTCATTGCTACTTTGTATAAGTATCATTTCATGAAAGTGATCTTTTGCTGATTTGCAATTAATTCTCTGACGGCGTATATGCTCTTAGTTTGAACATTTGCGATATTGTTTATTTTGGCAACCCTTAGTAATTCATTAATATATGCGACGCCCTTGCTAAATACACTGATTTATCCGGGCAAAATTAGTTCTTCATTAACTTTATTCTGGAAGCCCGTCTTTTTAAATAAATTTATTTTTAATTAACCTCGCATGATCCAATTTACAGTGAGACTATCCTTTACTATTCATAAACAAGCCACATTTTTTGTATAGCGAAATTATTTACTAATATTTGTCAAGTGATTCAATTTTAATGTTTCGTAAACAATGCCTGAATACACTTGAAAATATTTTTCATTGCTTTCCTAATATTTATCTAACCATACCTCTTATTATTTTGAATTTATTTACTATTAGGTAAATGGAACTCTTGCAATTCGCACTGACCAACTCTGGCGATGGTTCAAGACTCCTCCATTCCCCGAACTTGCCGAAGGATGGGATTGCACTAATCGATATTCTTGTCTAGGCCATCTCTCTACGCATTGGGCCGGCCGCCCGGAGATGCTAGCAAGGCGTTTTTTAGCCATTATCTCCCAATTTTTGCGTGTAGGACAGCTTATTATTTCTGCTTTAAAGAAACATCCTATTACAGCTTCATCGACTGATAAATCTGACTCCTTTCGCTGCTTTTTAGCAACCTGGCTGACATTATCTAGTAGTGTGACAATATTTGTCAAGTTAGCGCTCGTCCACTGGCTCTGGGCTCCAATTTTTTTTGAGGAAACTTTAGAGAGTAAATCCGGCAAAATCTTTGTTACACCAACCATGGACTCAGACTTTGGATCAAAGTCTACTTTAGGCCAAAGTTCCATTTGTTTTGTGAGGTATGATGGAAAAGCAAAAGTTATTAATGATAAGGCAGTTTGTTTGTCTATTTTGAGAAAACGCGCGCATTTTATAGAAAAGCTTGAAAGAAGTGGAGACAAATTAGTGATGTGGACTCGCAAGAGGAAATGGAACCTTGCTCTTGATTTTCTTACAAACCTTTTCCATATAATATAAAAGCAAAATCTCGTCTGCGCTACACTGGTGCATACATTAGTAAGAGTTTTTTAAGACACTCATTCTTAGGATATCGGATAGTAGGGTCGCGATACTTGCCCTACACATTCATGCTACATTGCACAGCTGTCTTTGTAAAATACTTTACTCTTCACTTATTTGGTTGTTATGTTCACCAGCTGGCAACCTCCTTTTTAAAAATCGATAGAATTATC